GTGGGTACGCACTTCTGAGGAGTCCCATATGAGGACGAAATGGCTGTCCAGTACTCTCGGGTTTCCAATTTTTGTTCAAATGATGTCAGTCCATGATGAATACCAACTTGAAAAGTCACTAAATCCCCACAAACCCCCAAATGCAAGTGTCTTATTGTTGGATGTTCGAAACCTCCACTTTCATCGAATCTGTTTAACAGTCATCAATCAATATCTGTAATCAATGCAGTTCTGGGTTATTACACAGATTTTAGTCAAGTGGGTCACCTTAAAGATTATCTTCACTAAACACTACAGTTAGGAATGGTAATAATAAAATAATGAAACGGCGATTTCGTGATATCTCAGTAATCACTGGACCCGTAAATCCGATGCTAGCTTCTATTTGGCGTTCAGACTACCAGATCTGACGCCAGTGAACTCATCATAGTTGTCAACAACTTACATCTATATTAGATAAAATAAATATGTCCAGAGAAGACTTGAAAGCGGTTTCAGCCGTAAATACTTTAGACGATTGTCGTTATGTCGAGGCCAAACAACAAAGTGATTAATGTATAACATGTCCTTCGTGCATTTTGGAACTAATCCTCAATTTTGCAACTACAATATGAGGTGATTTATCCTATCTTAGATATTCAAGGAGGCGGTGCAAAAAACTCAGTCGTATCGGTGATTCTAACCCTTTGATGGCAATCAGTTTTCTGAAGCTTTCATTCATAACTTGTTAGTAATTTTTTCCATCAGTACATAATACAGTAAGTTTTCTATAAAAAGCCTTATTCAATGAATAAATTTATGTAGATTGCTTGACAATATTAAAATTTCTGTCTAAGAAATTCATATTATCATAGTCAGTTTCCGATAGTTCAAATCATTGTTTCGTTTATAACGAAATTGCGTGTCGTAAGTTCAGTTAATTTTTATTATAGGACAAGGCGTAAGATGATTGCAGTGAAGAAAAATCTTTTTTCCGACGAAATCCTTCGTCGTGAATAGTCTCTCCTACCATAGTCTCTATATACCATTTGGTGCGAAGTGGAAGCACCAACTGAAGTGCAAATTGAAGGAAGTGGTAGTGAGCATAGTACCGTTTTGTGATCACTTCCTGGGAACTTGGAGCCAATTTTTGCCGAAATAAGAATTATATTGTGGTGAAATATTGAGTCAAAGACATTGTCACCTGTCTTGGGGTTGGTAACAATTTGTTTTCATCCGAATATAGCCAGTGTGTGGAAAAAGTCGTCAAACCTAGCTGGACCAGCATGTGAATCCCACTCCAACCTGGATACAGTGATAGTGTTCAGGAAGTACATGAGACAACCTTCCCCTTTCTTGGTACTTCGGCCACATCGCAATTATGTGTACATTTCAATACTTATCTCTTCATCTGGCATATTTATGTGACACCAAGACTCAGAGATAATTATTAAAAGCGGCTTAAATATGAGCACGATTCCTCTTAATAACAACAGTTTGCTAAGGACGTTGCTCTTATGAAAGCGATGTACAAGTAAGAGGAGTTATAATGTATAAAGCTTTATAATTCACTTAACAGATCAAAATGTATCTCATTGTTGCTTGACTGAGTTTGATCTGATGTCATTGCGTTACAATACGTCTCTACACCATACTCACTTGTGGTTGTACAGTTACTACGATATCCTAGTCGTAAGTGGACCGCGTAGCGACTTGAAATAGTATCACCTCTATTGGGAGAGGTTGGATGCATTCATACTCAATGAGAAGCTCATCGTTCACCAGAACGTAGTTAAGCCGCGATGCGTTTCCGTTAGGTCCTCAGCGTGTAGTATCACTCACTTTCCCTGAGAAGCCAGCAGTCTTAATCGCGTTCTTCAGCTTCTGATTGAAGGATCTGATGTGCCTCCCTTCCGTCTCAAAGAGGACGGATGGGGAGTTGAAGTCGCCGGCAATGATAGAACATTCCTGATTAAATTCTGGTAAAAAGTCAAAATAAGTTTCATTCAAAAGGAAAGTTGAGTAATGTCTGTAGACGCTTAAAATGGCGAAGTAAACAGAATGATTCCAAAATAAAAATGCTTAAGTCATAGAGGAACTATTCAGAGTGATTAATCCTCGGCGATGGCCATTGCAAAGAAAGAGATGTACATACTTCTTTTGAACGTCTAATGATGGTTTGAATTTTTTAATCGCTAATGCTTCATCTATGGTCAGATGTTTTATCCTCATTCCTTTTGAGTGGCTTGGTCGCACTTTGTAGATAATTTTGAAGGACTTATCTAAAGGAACTAAATCTCATGAGTTTACTAGGTGTTCTATTATAGAGCTGAAGATGCATTTCCATTCTCCCCTTGTCAGCCAGGTTGGGAAATTCTTGTTAGTGTAATACATAACCTGGAGTATTGTTCGGTCGATGTACTCGGCTCCACAAGAGCAAGTAAACTGATATACACATTTATGTGGCCCAATGCTCCAGCTTATCCTAAAAAATTAAAAGTTTCCGTCGTTCTTTAGTTTTTCAAGACAATTAAGAGAAGTGATCATTTGAAATCTACTTGTATGGTAAAAATTATTATTCACTTGCATTTTTGGAAAAAGAATGATCTCTTTCATTACTAGCAAACATGTGATCATTTGCATAACTTATACATCAGTCCCCTTTTTCATTTTTTCACCGATTTAAAGTTCGGATAGATATATTGGTTATTGGTTAGTAACGAATAATGACAGTTTACATCTGAGTACATATCGAAGTCTTCCGACTAAGTTTTCAGCCTAAACAACGATTAAGTCGACACTATAAGGTAATTCACTGTACTGTTGGTGTCACATGTTAGGAGTTAGTCAACGGAAAACTTCCTCTTTGGCACTGATCAGTAGGGTACTTCAATAGCTTCTGAGAAGCTTGTGCTCTCTCGGATATTACAACTTCTGTCACCTGGTAATGACGTCAGTGACTTCCCCACTAAGCTATTTAGGTGAAAGTTCATCCCATGCGGAACTATGTTATGCCCAAAGAATTTGCTAGACACATCAATTACCAAACGGCCAGTGATCACTTCTTGTTCATAATCGAATGTTACAAAAGGTCAGCATTGAACTAAGAAGTCCTGTGGTAAAGCTATTGACTACAGTATGGAAATATTCAGGTTGATATCTCTGCAGAATGGAAATTAGTAACTTTCTGGCCACTGGCTTCTAACATATTATCATTAAAGTTTAAACACTATACGGTGCATAATTAATAGGTGTGACTGAACTTGAAGACAGATTCCACGTGAAAGAGCTTCAAATGAGTTTTGACCTCTGAATAGGGTAACTGAACTCCACGGTAGTTTCTAGGGCGATCAAGGATCACAAATTATCACCAAGTTCCTGCTTGATACTTTAACCCTAGAATGGAGTCTTCAGTGATCTCTAAGCCATGAATCATTTATGGTTACTGTACCGTCAATATAGAGTTTAATAGTAACAAACATGCCAATCCATCTGAATTACCAAACTCTCATCATGCTCTCGTTTGTCTGTCCTTCTGAGGCTAAATACTTTCAAACCGGATATTATCATTTATATCAGCAAATCATTAGATCTCGTTAAATTTTGCCATGATGTAAATATCTATACATCTGAGAATTGACAGAAACGGGAAACTGTGTACCGTTGAACTCCGAACAGGTGGCTGGATGGTTAATGAGTTAGCTGTGAAACCTGAAGATCTTAAGTTGGTGAAGACTGTTGAGGAGTCCTACATTTGTGTGAACCATCTACTCAGTGCCTCCAGGGTTTCAGTGGTTCTCCGTGTGATGTCAGTCAGTGATCAATACTACCTTGAACTGAGTAAGATCCCCGTAAACCTCGAACTATATTCAAAAACGATGATTACCAACCTGAAATCAGTAGATAAGTCCCACAAAACCTCCAAACTGAATCAATCTAGTGCTAATTAGTGACCAGCGTCGAGAAGTGATTCATGAAGTTCTAATGAGAAGTCATGACCGGTGGAGCTAACAAGGTCGAACACCAGGACAGTTACTAAACGACGGCATTGAATGGAGGCTATGCTGTATCATGAACTGACAGATGTAGAAAGTATGGACCATTGGATCCCAATCGAGCAGCTTACTGGTAACGTGCTGGCCGTGGGACATTAAAGTCCCGGGTTATAACGCTAGTGATAAGGGGTCATGGTGCACACTACTGAGGAGTTTCATACTAGGATGAAACAGCTGCCCAGAGTTCCCAGGTTTCCTATGTTTCTCCAATTGATGTCATCTCATGATGAATACCAACCAGATTCAAGGCAGTTTACAAAGAAGAATCGGCCATATTGAACATTAAATCAGGGAGAAGCAGAAGATAAAATCTCTTCTGCACTCACTTAAGCTAGGACTTCTTACAAGATAACTAAATTTATCTGGTTAATCATTTACACCAACCACACAGTGTAAAGTTCATTTTATAGGATTTTAGTGGTAAACTACAGCCGAAACTTCAAGTATCACTGGATCATGATAAATAATAAATAAAATGAAGAGCCAACCTCTACTACTATTACTGCATACAGACCACAATTCGTCATCTTTTATGTAGCTTAACGGGGTCATATAGACGATTCTTTGTTTTACTATTTCTACTGTGTTCATCTCTCTTGCTGTATAGGTTCCATTGACACTAGTCATCAAGAGTATTGTATAGCGTTTTTAACACAAAGCTTACTCCAGCTGATAAAGCGAATTTCTCAACAAGCATTTACGGCTCACAAGTATGTTATGTGCTATTTAGCCAAATATAAAACAATTAAAATATCCAATCAAAATCTCCCTTAGTCGTCCCATAGCGAAGAAAACGAAAGAACATAAGACATTTTACTCCCCGTATCAATGACCTCAAACAATAAGTCATCCCGTGTGAAATTCTGATTGGCCGTTTTCACCACTAGCGTTGATTAGGTTATGCGTTTGGTCTTTTTATAAAAAATCAACACCGAAAATATCCTTATCCATTTATTATTTTGTCAGGGCATAGTGATATGGAAAACCAATTCCTAAACCTCGCAAACTCTATGATAACGAGCCCAAATCAATTAGAGGCATGTCCAGACCAAATGAGAACCCATCCATGCAATTGTGTGCAGATGCAATCGTCAGCTCCTGCAGCATTTCAAAGAATCCTCATGAACGAAGTTAATAATATGGAACCAAAGTTGCCCTTCGATTATTTTCCACCAAATTATCAGCATAATATACATACGAGGTGTCTTCGTGCTGCTTGTCCAAATAACATCGTGCACTATGCATATGGACAGGAATACTTCGCCTGTCAGTTGAAAGGATGCTTCTATTGCCATCGGAACTACACATATAATCATCCTCCAACACACTGTGCTTGCGTCAACGCTTACAATTTCTCGCATGGACAATTAAACAATATTCAACAGCCATTCCTTCAGTATCAGACGTATAATTATGATCCACAGTGCTTAACTTTTCCTAACCATGAACAGTCTACTCCAAATAAAATCGAACACACGGATAACAATGATAATAATACTGGCAACTTGGAATCAAAACAAGATGAACGAATGGAGAAAAAGTATAAATGCAATTATTTTGGTAAGCTTTGCTTGTGATTTACGTTGTCATTGTGTTTATTGTTATTTTCGAGTGGTGAAAAAGCTGTGTTACAACGAGTTAATTGTTTCACTCACCAAACAGGGTCTAAGCAGTGTGACGTGGCAAGCCATGCGCAGTGTGTTCGAGTTGTAGTGTGAGAAAACAAACTTGATCAATTGTCGTTAGTTTAGCTGTTGGGTGTCACCCTTCACGGGTTATGCCAACTATTCACATAGCTTGTTTTTCTAGATTGAGAAGTCAATGTGTTGGTGGTGAGTACTGTCTTTTTCGAGGTGGCGATGTGGAAACTGGGTGGTTGGGTTACCGACTTGTCTTTGTGAGTGACTTGTTAGTTCCAGCCAGATGTTTTACATTTTGCTTGGAATTCATCATATACTCATCCGTTACCGACAGAACATGTCGTTACTTCAGCTTCTAGATGTGCTTCGGTATTATTTCGATTTATATTCGTTATATTATGGGTTATAAAATGACTTGTTTCGTCGGTATGGTAATGTTAATTAGTTTTAGGGTGTAGATCTAGACAAGTTGGAAGACTAACTGAAGTGGTGGTTTCAGAAGATTCATAGGATAACATGTTTTCAGTTGTCATCCGACAGTCATCGTTATTGAGCTTATGTAGCTGGTTCGAGTGTAAATGCCTAGACCTTATTGATGTGTTAGGTTAGCATGTTGGAGACTGGTGGATGATAAGCCTACTGTTGGGTTGTAGGTTTGAGGTTGTCACTATTGTTTTTCACTCATGTCTCTCATTCGTTATTAAACCAAGTTAATTTTCGTCTAGTTCTGACAGCTTAAATTGTGGAGGTTGTAAAGTATCCTGTGTATTCCGTCCATGTGTGGCATAAAGATGAATAATAGTGTTTATCGGAGGTGGAAATTCATCTTCTGTGGGTTATGCGACACATGCTAACTACGGAAGTTACATTTTCCAATGTATGTTAGCACGTTGGGATTACGCAAGCGTTTAGAATTAATAATCATGCTGCTCATGAGCTTTTCGAAACGAATGTATCGAGTGGTGAAAAACGTTTGTAGCTCAGGCTGCGAGAATCTGTCGTTTTTTTATTGTTTGTCATTTGGAGTTTAGTTTTTCACGGTTGTTTCTAATTTGTGAACTGCAATTTTCCATTTCTGACAGGTTCTATGGCTTATTTACTGGTTTTAAACAGATTGATTTCCAGTGACTGTAGGACCGTTTCATCGAGAAACAGCATGTACCTGAACTGTATCTGGTTTTGTACGATGTCAACGTTCTTTTGTGGCATCTTATGTATGGGCATTTATCGGTCACTGGAGTTTAGTGTCTTACCCTAAGTCCTAACCTATTATAGTTAGGGTCACTTGTTGGTGTTTTCACAGTTTACATTCTTCTGTCATGAAATGGTTCTAGTCGATGAGCCACGGTTTTTGGCTTGAGGGTTCCTGAGCGGACTCTTTGATACTACTGGTACTTTCGGATTTATACCAACGATATGTGGTGGTTAGCACTAGGAACCTTTGTTCATCATTATTATCATACGGTTACGTTTCATGTGTATGTGTTCTCGAGTATCCTATTCAGTTAAATTCGGTTCGCTCTATGTTTTGAATTTGTTTTTACAGACTGTGGGAAGAGCTATGCGAAACTATGTCACTTGAGGGCTCATTATCGTGTTCATACTGGTAAGTATTTTACATTGTGTGGTTATTATTTTGTAATGTAATGTAAGGTCACTGGTACTATGACCATGTAGCAGGTAGTGGGATAGTGGTTATTGATGCATTTGAGTGGTCAGTTAGCAACTTTTAGATGGTTTTGGCCTGGGGCCAAACTACGTATTTGTCGACGCATTATTTAAACAATAACCGACTTGCATGTATCCCTGTTTGTATATGACCCACCAGAAAGAGCTAGTCTGTAACAGATGACATCGGGGTAATCACTGTGCTTAGACCTTCATTAAAACTAAGTGCCTTGCTATGATCTGGTAATTCCTGGCCATCTTTAGTTGCATGAAGCCTGTTTAGCTCCCTTTGCGGCTTGTTGCGCAACCAACTGTTGTTTCAGATTGGTGCCATTGTCCTCTGCGCGTTTGTTTTTACCCTCACTCGGTAAATTACAAGTCCCAGCCCATTTGCGTGCATCTCAGGGCTGTCACTTTTTTCTTTCTCAATACTTTTAAATTAAGGCTTCCTGATGAGAATTTCACGCGGAGCATTTTTACTTTCTGCTTCGTGACTCTACAGGACCTTTTCGCCTTGTTTCTGATGTACTGGTTATGAAGATAAGAGGGCTGGGTCTGGCTGGTTTGAATTCCCATAGTTCTACTGAAAACACTTTCTCTCCGGAAGATAAGAGTTTGACTGGGAAAATCATGATAATTGTATTTGATCCAGCCTACTCTTTAAAACAGCACAGGTGATGTGAATGATACTAATGAGAATGCAAGAAGTGGATGATCAGGTTTCCACAAAAATCATGGATTTTTTACACTGTTGGTGTGGCAGTAAATCCTCATTCTGCAACACTAAGTAATAAGGATAATAGCATTTTTATCATTCGCTTTCAGAAGAGTACGAAATGAATTCAGCCACTGTTCTACACCTGTGCAGTAGACAGAGACCCACTGGGTGATAGTCATCTTCCTAAACCAATGAGCCATACTCCCCCATTTGAAAAGTGTTGAGACGTAGCAAGTCAGATAACGCAAACACGAATGATCGGTTTGTGGATTGTTTGCAGACTTTTTTACCAACTGCTCATTTGTAATCTTGACAGTGTTTCTGTAGAAAACCACCGAATAAGAAAAGCGGAGTCACATCGACTAACGAAACATACTACAGAAAGCACTCACTCTGCTCTCTAGGTCTCTTTAGCCAGGTCAGAGTTATGTAAGCTCCACCTGGGTGGGTGTCATGAGCATTTTTGGACCTGTCTCCATCCATGATGAGTGCCTTGGAGATCATCTAGGTGAAGATCAGTGGGAGATTCGTATCTATACCTTTTGCTCGTTGTTGTACTTGGGAAAAAGGTAAAGTCTGAACATAACATTAACACCAAACTGACAAGGCCTTTAAACTTTTTGGTTGGATTTAAATAGAATATTTTATATTTCTTTGTATTCTTACAGGCGAACGTCCTCTCGTCTGCGTGTTTCCATATCCTCGTGAGGTGTTTTCTAGACTTCCAACGGGTTCACTAACCATACCAATATGTGGTGAAAAATTTGCACGTTCAGATGAATTGACGAGACATTTGCGAAAACATCTCAATATGCGACCATTTAAATGTCATATATGCTCAAAATCATTTAGTAGATCTGATCATTGTAAAACTCATCTACGTATTCACTTGCGTAAAAGGTGTAAAGCTAATGCTAATTCCTGTCATAATAGCCTTACTGAGGCACCAGGCACTCATGGTGAAGAGTTGAGTGGGAATTCATCATATCCTATATCAACTGAAGAAATGGATATTAAATTTCTCAACCCTTTGCCGTCATCTTCATCATCTTCACACGTTCCAGTGACTGCAGACTACACAAGGTCATTTACAACAACACCATATTCATTATCTGCAATTTCATCACCAGCCCCTTCCTACTCGTAAATTTCGCTGTTGATTATCTCAAACGTATTATGTAGAACGTCTTCAGACGCTACTTTCACAGTCAAGCTGATTTCGTCAACAGTAATGCAAACATTTTACGTTGATTTCCACATATTTGATGATTTTTAGACTAGCTAATATTTTCCTTATATAATTAGGACAAGATGACTATTTGTTTAGTGGACTTTTTCAGCAGATCTTTACTGAAAACACTTCCAGCTTATATTTCTTTAGTTAAGATAACTATTTTTCAAAAGTTACTACTTTCTTACATTGTATTTCTGAATACAAAATTTCAAAAGTAATTCAGTTATCTCGCGTGCCAAAAAAATTGTTTTCAGATACTATCGCTACTATGGAGTAGTAGGATTGTCGACCAGCGAACTTTGAATACCTACTGTTCATTAAACGTACCTTCTATATAGAATTTGTAGGGGTGCGTGTTACAATTCCGTAACGTTTGATCAACCCTACTTAACTTGATGTGCTCTAGTACCTGCTTAACCAGTACTTTACCTAACGTGTAAGTACTGATAACAAAACACAAAGCAAAAGAACTGATACGCAATGTATTTGAAGGAGCTATGTGTTTAATTAAAGTAAGTGTAATAATAATGAATGGGGGAAAAGTTTAATCAACTTATCTGGCTTGTAAGGCTGAACTGGGGACTCGGAGTACGTGCGTGGTAATCAGCACAATGGAGCGCAAAATGGCGTCCAAGCCTGCTTGGATGCATGCTCGTTAATACAAAACTTAAAACACCCTAAGCATCCGGAGGCAGGCTAGAGATTTATTTAGTTAATTTAACTTAAACTATTTATTTTAGCCTAGTTATATTTTGGTGCCAGGAAGGTGCACTACACAATAAGCCATTGCTAATTTACTTCTTTCGGTCCTTTGGTGATTCCTCAGCGAATCATGGATTTCCTGGTCGTATAGGTAGGTATTACTAGGTGAATCCTGGTAATTTTAGAGCATTGAGAAAGGATTTGAACCGACGGTACCACCGTCGTGGACGATATTTGTTACTCAGTCGCAATATTGTGTCCAGGAGCATTTTAAAGTCTCACTCAGGTCAAGAATACATCAGTTGCAGTCAGGGTTTAAGAAAACATGGATTAATATCACTCTAAAATCCTTTTCTGACCTAACAGTGTGTAGGCTGTTCTGAATATAGGATGCCGAAAACAGTGTACTGTGCTTAAGTAAAACAGAGTTGCATGGTGGACAGTTGATCTAATGCAGTCACCAGTAACTTCACCGGGAACTCCTTTGTGCTGACAGTTAGATGGCATACGCCCACTCACCACCTCATGGTCACGAATGTTATACTTTATTTTCCTGTACTTCACCGACCAAGCTAGGTGATTGTTCATGAACGATTTCAAGCCTATCTGAAGGCAGGTAAAAGTGTTCATGAACTATGTAACCACTCCAGAGAGAGGGGGATATTCGTAATTATGTTTAGAGTCAGGTAATAATATTACAGACTAGAGGTGTATTAAAACTAAAAGTAGGATATAAAAAACATCAGGAAGGATAGACAAGTCAAGAGAGTAGGGAATCCTTTGTAATGGTCAAATGCATTTCTATCTGTAAATCCTACAGAATAGATCTACGTACATAGTTAGGAAGTGTCCTGTGGTTTGTTACTTAACCGATCTCATTATCGAGGGACAATTGTATGGTAATTTACAGTAGTCAGCGTGCTTAAATCTTGTGTACATAAAGTGTCAAATTACTTGGTGTGAGCTTCAGTATATTTATCTCATTACAATTGTCATGCTTTTTGGTTGTAGTTTATGCCAGGTGGTAGTCAGTTATTGTTCGGTTTATTTCAAGACTGCATTATTACATCATCAGTATGTAAATAGACGTCTGTGAACAGTTGGTTAGAATTGTCTTTTTGTTATCGTAGTGTAATCACGAGATCTTGCATAAACTGATAAGTTTCATATGTCTGGTGTTTCGTAATAATGAATGCTATAAAGGCAGCATATGAAACATCTGCTAATATTTCCGGTACACGAATATAAAGTAGTATGTTGGTTGTATTTAAATTCACGGAGGTTTAACAAACTTTTACCGATTGATGATTCATTTAATTACGATGACCAAAAGCAGTTGAATGCGCTTGACCACAGTGTAGTAATAATGATAAATGTAACCACTGTAGGAAATACATAACAGGTGTGCTGGGTCTGTCCTATCAAAGTCAACTAGTTCATCAGTTTGCACTGTTCAGTCAATAATCATCCAGTCATTTCTTTTGCCCGCATCTACCAACTTCGTGGTAAGTTCAAATTACCAGTGATCTCAAAGCATTCAGACATATTTAGGCGTTTTTCTAAATCTCTATATGATTGGGGTTGTTATTCCACATTTCACTAAAAGATGTAGGTATTTTTCTGGAGTTATTTACGACTGAGTAGGGAAAGTGAGATGTGTGAATAACACTGCTGCTTGTTAATGGACGTATGTGTGGACCTTGAAACGAAAAGGCCCCCAATCTGGTTCACGGTTTAAGGAAATAACTATTCTATTCCGGGTAAAATCATGCGAAATACTATTTAAAACCAATGGAAATGAGAAACTCGACCATCCGCATTTCTGGATTTCATGAAACTATTGCGTAACCAATGCCTTTCCTATTTATCGTATTACCGACACTATCTGTATACGCCTATTTGTGCTTGATGATTTCGTCTAAAAAGCACTAGAATTACACAGTCTGTTGGTAAGTCCGCATTTTATCCCCGATCACTGACTTCATCTACCACAGCGTATTCTGGACTTTGTTTTAGCAGACTGACCCTTTAAATACCATTGTTCTATACAGCCATTGTTGGCGGTTGGTAAGTAGTAGTGCGTTCCAATAATTATTTAGAGTGCATCATTCCGTCTTTGTATGGGTTAGTGTTACAAGATCCCACAAGATAACCTTTTGACCAGCTTTTGGTTGCAATGTGTTCCAAAACCTTTTTTCCTCAAATAAACCTGAGCTCAACATTTGGTGTTTACGGTAAGATTCTGAAAGCCGTCAAAAATTACCGTCTTTTATGGATTCTATCTAAATCAGTTGGTCTAACAGCTAAAAAAATCAGTAAGTGACATCGGAAGTTTGTTCAAGTACTGTCCTTGCACCTATGAATTTGGTAAGTGAGTTATCTATTGAGTACAGAGTAAAAGTAACCATTTCTGTTCACAATAATGAAGAAAAGGGAATACTCTCAAGTTAAAATAACCAGAAATGAAGACATAGTAAGGGGCTGATTAAATACCATCAATGATTACTTAAATCAGAAGACATAGCGAGACTATATTTTTTTTAGTTCATCTTCGAAAACATGACAATTATGATGGTCAGATGAAGGATAGAAACAAATGAGTAGCACAGCTAGGCTATCTGTACCTGGAACGAACTACGCTTGCCCTGTTTGCATTCTACACCATAACCTCTTCGAAATTCAGCATAACGGTTTAGATGATATTACCTACTTTTAGTATTTTTTTTTTATTTTTTATTATTATTAGTCCCTTGGGTTCCTAGTGGAACATAGGGCTTCAGTAGCACGCCTCCAGTGACCTCTGTTCTCTGAGATCTTTTGAACCTGGTCCCACGACAGCCCACAACCTCTCATTTCCTCCTCGCACGACCTCCTCCATGTCACCCTCGGACGTCCAACTCGTCGCTTCCCATGGGGATTCCACTCGAGGGCCTGACGCGTGATGTCCTCAGTCGGCCTTCTCAGTGCATGGCCAATCCATCTCCACTTCTTCCTGCATATTTGTTGCGTGATAGGTTCTTGGTTGGTTCGTTCCCAGAGTTCCTTGTTGCTTATTTTTTCTGGCCATCTGATCTTCAGCAGCGAGCGTAAGCAGTTGTTGATGAATGTCTGTAGTTTATTGGAAATACCTTTCGTGGCGCGCCAAGTCTCTGAGCCATACAAGAGCACTGACTTGACGTTGGTGTTGAAAATCCGTATCTTGTTCCACATGCTGAGCTGAGTGCAGAAGATCTCCACACTGGTTTCAGGCTAATGAACGCCTGTCTTGCTTTTCCGAATCTGACTTTGACGTCCTCGTCCGTCCCGCCTGTAGTTGAAACAGTGCTTCCTAGATAAGTGAAGGAGGTTACTTCCTTTAAGTTTCTCCCGTTGACAGTGATTGGAGTTTGTTGTTGTTGTTGATGGTGGTGGTGCGGTATCTTCATCACTTCTGTCTTCTCTATATTCATTTGAAGTCCCGTCTTAGCTGCCTCTTCTGTCAACTTGTTATTTTTTGCCTGCAGATCTTCAAGTTTGTGTGACATTAGGCATAAGTCCTCGGCGAAATCCAAGTCTTCTAGGTTCTTTTCCGTCGTCCAGTGTATCCCCCTCTTCTCGCTGCCTACTGTTTGCTGCATGATCCAGTCCGCCACAATCAGGAATATCATGGGGGATAGTAGGCAACCTTGTTTCACCCCTGTCTTCACTTCAAAGGCATCACTGAGCTTCCCATTGTGGATTACTTGGCATGTGGCATCTTCATATAGTTGTTGAATGAGGCGGATAAAGGTTTGCGGTACTCCGTAGTATTGAAGCAGTTTCCAAATTACTTCTCGGTCGACGCTGTCAAAGGCCTTCTCAAAGTCGATGAAGTTGAGGTGGAGAGGTGATTGCCATTCTATGCTCTGTTCTATGATGATACGAAGCGTTGCAATTTGGTCGGCACATGATTTGTACTTCCTGAAGCCTGACTGTTCCGGTCGTAGTTTTGAATCCAGTGCATCTTTAAGCCTCTCCAGGATGATGCGGCTTAATATTTTACTTGGGGTGGACAGGAGAGTGATTCCGCGCCAGTTCTTGCAAGCACTGAGGTCTCCCTTCTTCGGCAGTTTGACAAGGTAACCCTTCTTCCAATCGTCAGGTACCTTCTCTTCCTTCCACACCTTCTGCAATAGTGGTGTGAGCATGTCCGCTGTTGTCTCTGCATCTGTTCTCAGTGCTTCTGGCGGTATTCCATCTGGTCCTGCTGCTTTCCCGCATTTCAGTAGCTTTATGGCGTTCAGAACTTCCATTTTCGTTGGAGGATTTATGTTCACTTGTAGTTCAGCGGCTGCAGG